TGGATTTTTTAAATTACAAATAAAAAATGATACTTCCTCAATATCATCAAATAGCTACTTATTTAAAAAAAACCTGTTTTTTTAATGTTTTAGTTACAGTAATTTATTTGATCTATATTTGAACCATTCTTAAAGGCTCTTGATATGTACTTTATTTTTTCTCTTTTATTTCTATTGATAAGTTTAAATAACCAGGCTACTTGTCCTGTAGATTTCTCATTGTCTAGATTTTTATGGTCAACTGCGTTCTCTTCATGTCATTTAACATGCTCCTCTGTCTCCATATTTAATCTAGTAATAAGATACATAAAGTTGGTATAATTGCTTTTATTAAAGAATATTTCATTGGTGGAATTAGGTGCTTCTATTATGAAGTATATATTCTAGTCCTCTCTTTTTGTGATTTTAGTAGCCATTGATAATTATTTTCTGGATCCATTATTGCAGTAGGTGTTTACAAAATAGTAATTTTGTAATTTCATCATTCTTAATTGATTAGCTGGGATAAACATACATAGAGAAAAACAGATTTTTTTTCATTATGTATGTAGTTACTCTGAAATATATTTCATACAAAAAGGACAGATTAAATGTTTGTCTTTACCTTTACTTGCCAGTTCTAATAATATAACTGTAACATTTGCAAAGGTAACTGCTAGGTTTTCTCTTTTTAATATCATCATGAACTCATGAATTTTGAGGTATTTTAATAGAGCTCAGGTATTATTCTTATTTGTAATACAGTTACCCCATCTTTTGATACAGTCTACTCCAGTGAAAACATTTCCAATGTGATCACTGTGTTGCTTTGGCCCCAGTAGGCTTTGAAAGCTTTCTTTATTTATGGTGTGACAAGATGAGAACTGTGAGGATTCTGACTAAGGATCTTGACTCCAAATTTAATTGACATCATTACTTGTTTGCACTGTCCCTAAACCTTTTATTATAAACCAATATTATGAATAACAAGGTGATTACTAACAACAGGTTAAAATTTAGTTTGCCCACTTTTTTGTCAAATTACTGTTTTTTAATATCACTTAAAATAATTCTTCTTTCTTAAGCACTACTTAAATATGGAATTAGGCTCATCTGTTTTTATTTTTATCTGGAATTTTTAAGGATGGTTTTTATTTCATATTGTTTATAAATATATAAAATATAATGTGAAATAGTTACATTATTTTAAAATCAAATTTATAAAACAAGGTATATTTAAATAAGTCTATTTTCTTTCCTCTTTTATTTTGTTTATTTTGTCCCATTTCTCTAAGAAGAAAAATACATATTTTCCATATTAAAACACACTCATACATTTGCACTCTAAAAAAATTACAGCACACTACATATGATTTTTTTCACTGGACTTTTTTTCACTTACACTGTATTCTGAAGATCATTCCATAGCAGTATAAATAGATATATTTTAATTTCTTACAGCAGTGCACCATTCCTTTGTTTCACCATATATTATTCAATGAACATTGATTTTTACAGCTTTTGATAATATAAAAGTTTTACAATGAATGTGGATGTGTAAGTCAGTTTGTATACAAATGTATCTCTGATTTAGATGTTTAGAAATGGAAGTGCTGGATCAAGGGGCAAATACAAAAGCAATCTTGATAGTTTGCCAAATTACCCTCCACAGCTATTGTGCCAGTTTACAAACATGTTTAAATATTTTGATTGATTTTTAGAGAGAGAGGAAGTGGGAGGGAGAGAAACATGGATGTGAGAGGAGAACATCAATCAGCTGCCTACTGCATGGAGATTGAGGCTGAAACCCAAGCATGTGACCTGACCAGGAATCAAATCTGGAACCTTTTGGTGCACAGGATGACGCCTCACCAACTTAGCCACACCTGCCAGGGCTACAAACATATTTAATTGGACAACAAAAGACTATAGATTTATAGAGTCAACTTAAAGTCTAAATATGATCTATGTCAACAGAAACAAAGAACTATCTAAGATCTAAATTGCATTTCTATTTGTAACTCTTCTGTTGGTAGCCAGTGCACAAAATTTGTGCATGGGTGGGGTCCCTATGCCTGGCCTGTGATTGAGACTAATCAGGTTCCCCGCCTCTCCACCTCCCTGCCTCCTCCTTCTCTCGCCACCCACACTCCACCATCACACGGTTCCGTGCCTCCCCACTTTCCTGCCTCCCCCCCTCCTCCTTCTCTCAATGCCTGTGTCCACCACCACCCACCCCTGGTTCCCCATCCCAGTCCAGGACCCAGCCCCGATTGGGTGATTGGGACCTGCCTGCCAGGGGGAGGGACTGGAAGGTGGCCTCACCTGAGGGAGGGGCCAAGGGGAGGGGCAAACTGCTACCATGGTGGATGGGGAGTGGGACGATTGGCACCTCCTGGCTGGGGGTGGAAGAGAGGGAGGGACCCAGGAGGCCTCAATGAGGGAGCTGTCTCTCAGTCCCCCTGGGAAAGAGACCAAATCTGCTGCCACCCATCCCCAGTTCCCCACCCTAGCCCAAGGGCCCAGCCCCAATCAGGCCATGGGGCCTGCCGGCTGGGAAGAGAGACCAGGAGGCCCCATTGGCGATTGGAGATTGCGGTTGGGGACAGCTCCTGCATTGAGCATCTGCCCTCTGGTGGTCAGTGAGTATTTTAGTGACCAGTCATTCTGGTTGTTCCAGTCATTCTGGTCATTCCATCTTAATGGTTG